ATTTATTATGCCTGCAATGCTTGTAAAATGTTTTATTATTTTATTTAAAAATTATTATATGTTATTTTGATATTGACGGTCCAGCAACATCATCAATATCTGCAGCATGTAGCGTTATATTACTTTTTTTTTTCATGGGGCTACTAGCATATAATGTCTTTGCCGACATGAGAGACAAATGGTTTTCATCAATTACCATGTTTAGAACCGTTTCTTTTCTAGACTTTAAAGCCGATTTTAGAACACAAAGAGCATTTACATTGGTAACCGAAAGTTTATTGCGTTTTTTTGTTTTTATATCTGATAAAACAGAAAACACTCTTTCTGAATCAGCATTCGAATTTGGAAGTGATCTAACAGCATTCAAAAAAGATTTTAAATTGGGATATTTTGCAATGTTAATAGAGTTCTGACTTTGTAAAATTTCTTTCCACATGTCATCAAAATTTAATTTTGAAAGATTTTCTTTTTTACTTGTGTAAAATCATGATATAAAAGATACCATTCTTTCTTTAAACCATCTTCGTCAAAACCACCAAAAGTTTGAGCGATAAAAGAGACATCATTGAATGATATTTCTCTGTCACTATCCGATAAAGCTACGTTTGCTTCTAAAACTTTCAATTTAGACAAAAATTTGTCATTAATTGGTAATTTTTTACTAATTTCTTCTGCAGCAGTGACGCAAAATTGCAAACAATTCTTTCGAACATGTGCAACTATGTCTGTGTGTCCTTTCATTAATTTATCAAGATATTCCTCACATTCGAATCCTAAATTTACTTTATTTAGAGATTTTTGATTCTTTTGTTGAGAAAATTGAATATTATTACATACATTTTTTAACAATTCTGGTTTCAAAAAGTATTCACAGATTGTGGTTAGAAATTTTACTGATTTTGGTTGCAATAAATAAACTCTAGTTTCCGCTGCTTGAAAAAATGCATTAAATGAATTAAATGTATTTAAAATATGTTCTAAAAATAAAAAATATGCTTTTACATCATGACGTTGCATTATAAACATTAAATTTTCTGCAGACTTTGATTTTTCTGTCAACACCATATCAGTAAGAAAAAGCTTGAGAGAATCCCAAGACTCAAGAATTCTTTCAATACATGAATAGTGAGAAAGCCACCGTGTATCGGACAATCGTAAAATTTTGCGACTTGTTTCCAAAAAGCAATCACTAAATTCTCTATAAATAGCCAAACGCTTGGGACTACTGTTAATATAACTTGAAATCTTTTTTATAAATTCTTCGCATTCTGGTATTTCAGCACATGCAGAATGTGCAATCAATGCAGCGAAAACTATTTGACTGCATTTTTAATATGCTACTGTGTTCCTTCACTAATCTCCACAGTACATGTATATGTAGTTACTGCAGTAACTCTTGCTAATATGCAGTAGTTTAAAATAAATAATTAAAAGCTTTGCAGGCGTGTAATCTTTCATGTTGATAAATGTAAAATAACAAGCATGGCTAAACGAGTAAGGCGAATGGCAAGAATATTAAAAATCTTGTGTTTGGAAACTGTGATTTTGTAACTTTTTTTCCTTTTTTGATATTTATTTTAAGTAAATTATTAGATAATGTTTTTGGCTAAAAAAATTATTTTATCTTTATTAAAAATATTCGCATATGTTAAATTAGCACTTTGTTGCAACATTGTAAAATAACTTCATTTTTCTATTAACAATAACAGATCTGTATTATTTCTAAAATTGTTAGTTTAATATATGCGAATATTAATAATAAATAGAAAATATTATTTTTTTGGGCAAAAAAATATTATCTAATAATTTACTATGTTAGAAACAAATGTGGAAAAAGAAAAAAAAGTTAGCACGAAGCAGGTCTCGAACAGGTGATCTCTAATATTCCAGCCACTCGCCTCAGAATTTCTTTTCTGAATCAGAAACGCTTGCTTTTAACATGCAAGTAGCATGCATTTATCGGCTGCGTTCCCATTTTGTCTCACTCAGTGCAGTATCCAGTGGCCGCCATTTTGCTGGATACTGTACTGGAGAAGCGTTCCCAAATTACTGGACTGGCTAGTGACAATCGTACCTCGTTCAGAATGTCGTCGGCCGGGAAATGTTACGTGCAAAAAAAGAAAATACGGACACAATTATTAGATGCAGAAACAAATATATTGTATACGACGTTTCTGTCGCCAGAAGATGCAAAGCGGATAGCAATTGGTAACGTTTTTTCGAAATTTATCTGTATAGTTTGAGGTTAAACTGACTTAAAATTGCACAGATTATTATATATAAAATCCATATAAATATTTTATTGTGAATAATTTACAGATATACATTTTGCTCAATCAGTTTTGAATGGCCTCATTCGGGATCAACAACCGAATGAGCCCATTCAGAAAAGCGTTAATGAAACTGTTGAAGAACCTGAGACTCAAAATTTCTCGAATAATGCAGGTAATAATTTTACACTTACGAATTTAATTTAAATAAATATTGCATAAATAGTTCATTATTTATTGATGAAACAAATATATTTACAGAATCAGAAGATATTCATGACGCCACATGGACACATGAAAAAATTCTGCTTTTAATAAGCACATATCGCGAACAACAAAAAAAAAATGAAAAGTGGGAAAGTGTTGCTTCGTAAAATGTGGAAGCAGGTTTCCGAAGACATGAAAAAAATGGGCTATGACATTCCCTCAAATAAATGTGCAAATAAAATGGATGCTCTAAAAAGAAGATACAGAAAGATTATCGATCACAATAAGCAGTCTGGGAATGATTTAATGACATTCAAATATTTTGATGTAAAGTATAACATTATATCAATTATGTTTTTGGTCGAAAAATTATTATTACAATAATAAATTGTATTGTTTTCAGGAACTCGAGGCCATATTTCGAAAACAACCATGAGTGGATCCTGTTGCGGTTGCAAGTAATGAACTGCAAGATAGTAGTTTTGAAAATGGTGACGAGAGAGATGGCAATCGAGAAAACGTTTCGCCAAGTGAGTACTTATAAAATAAATTAATATATAACTAATTATTTTATTTGCAAAAATAAACTTACATTAAATTATGATTAACATTTTTCAATTTTATTTCTTGTTGCAGATACTGACGAAAAAGTAGTCAAAAAATCTCGGACCAAAGTTCTGCATGAAATTTTAGAAGAGAAAAGGTTATACAGAAAATCTTCGGAAGAATATCAGAAGAGAAAATTAAGCTTGCTGCAAAAGTTGGTGGATCATATTATGGAAAAAAAATAATCATTTGAAAAGGGTAAGTGCGATATATCCGTCGAATAAATAGTAAATTTAATAATTATTAACTATCCATGATCAAATTATGGTGATTTTGTACTGCAAAAATTGAAAATTGATTTATTATTTTTACATTTTAGTTGCTCGACGAATGATGATATGTCCAATTTCTACGGGACATAAAACAATAATGAGCAATAGTGCAGAAGCGGTAAATTTGTTTAAAAAAATTTTATTTAGTTTATTTCACAGAATAAACATTTTGTATAACTTTTTAAGTAATATTTTGTAAATTTACAGCATTATTGGGATCTCCATGGCAGACAGCTACATAGTGCAAACGAGGCTACACTGTCATCAAGTTAACGAAAGAGTGCTTCCGGTTTTTTATTAATTTTATTATGTTTTTAATATTTTTATACTTTGTTTCCGAAACACGAATTATTTTGAGTTTTAGTCGTAGCTATTTTTTACGCTTAGTTATTTGCAATGTTTTTTTTATTTATTCTTTTATTTCAAATTTGTTTTATGTAAATGTATACACAATTGTCATACTGTTGTCATACTTTTTGTTTGTAGAAAAAAATAGATTAGTCAAATAAGGAAATTAGTAAGCAGCGAATTAATAACTAATAAGTCAGAACAATAAGGAAAGAGAAAAAAAGAAATTATTTTCATTTTCAATGTTTTCGTTATAATTTTCAATATAAATATAATTATAATTTTTATTTACACATTTATTTGATACACATGAACTTAATTTTAATGTACATTTTAAATTGTTCGCAAATACAAATTATGGTCACAAATACAAATGCAATGTTAATTTATTTTCAACAAAACTTATATTTAATTTAATAAGCGAGTTAGGTTCTCACGTTTCACAATACCTTCATTCCGATCGTTTACATTCACATCGAGTGGATGTAATTCTTGTAACATATAACGATTTTCTACCAATATCGGGATATCGATTTCATCGTTCCTTAATAAACAAAGATTGTGTAAAACACAACAACCGATGATATTACGTGGTATCAAGTCCGTTCTTGTCATTGAAAGTTTGTCCAACAAACACCGCCAACGTCCTTTCAGCAATCCAAGGGACCGTTCCACAATCATACGGGCTGATGATAATTTCTTATTGAAATTAGTTTCAGCTTCTGTTAAGTGACCGTTATCCCTGTAAGGAACCATTACATTTCGCTGGATTGTGTACGCTGCATCACCGAGTAAGTGGCTGTCTTCAGGGAAGAATTGCGGATTGCATTTTTGTTGCAATCCGGAATACATAAATGTCCGCATGTCATGGACTGAGCCTGGTTGTCCTGCGTAACAATGTATAAACCTTAAATCTGCATCACATACAACCTGAAAATACACAAAAAATTACAAATAATATGTCAATCACAAAAAATATGTAGATATACATCCACATATAATAATATAATAATATAACGATGTTTGAAAATATGTGGATATACATCCACATATTTTCAAACATCATTAGTAACATTTACCTGTAATTGAATTGCATGGTAGTTTTTTCTACATATGTATGCTTCTGGATTTCTTGCAGGTGCACTTATTTTAATGAGAGTACCATCAACTGCGCCGATGACACCTGGGAATCCATATCGTTGTTCCATTTTAGTCCAAGTCTGTTCAGCTTGTGCTCTTGTAGGCCAAGATATAAACGTATTTCGTAACCTATATAATGCTTTTGTTACTCTTAGAACGCATCGCCAAGCAGTTGCCCTTCCAACATCAAACTTTGTACATACAGATCTGTAATCATAATGTTTTATTACTGAAAATATCTTAGAGCAATTGAATGAAATATTTCAATCTAATAACATGCATTTATTTTTGTTTATACCTGTACGAGTCGGGAGCAGCTAACATCCACAATGCAATATACAGTTGCCTGCAAGCCGATATAGGATCCCTTCCAGGATTATCTGGAACTTTTTCCAGTACTGGTCGTATCAAGTTTAAAATATATTGAAAGGTATTTCTACGTAGACTGTAAAAATGTTATTAGTATATATAATTGTAATGATATAATTGTATATAATTTTATTTAAAATACTAATATTTTAGAACATTATGTATTACTCACCGAAAATGTGATTTAAATTCTTCATCATCATACAAAGCAATAACTTCTATATAATTTAGTATTCTAGGCCTTTTGCCTCTAATCATTGGAATTGCATTTATTAATTCTTCATCACTGTCAGTGTCTGATGAATCATTACTAGACGAATCAAACATTTGGATTGCGATAGCAATCAGTGCATCCTTGTTTTCTGCCATTCCTAATTTTGTTCTTTATAGAATATATTTCCTGCAATAATCACAACACTTTAACAAAAAAAAATCAATGTGTACTGAAAAAATAAAATTATGTACAATAATTATATACAATAAACATTATAATACAATAATTTATTGTTTTTAAATGTGAAGTTATACAAACAAATAATCGGTATAATCGTCGTTATAATATTTAAAAATAACGCTACCACTTATTAATACATTGCTAATTGAAATATTTACTTACCGATATAATAATCTTTACTAGCAATAATTGCTTCAACACTATTTATATATCAACTAACAATTTTATTTAGGTTATACGAGCTAATACGTGTGCGAGGCTGTCACTAGCCACTAGCCAGTCCAGTAATTTGGGAACGCTTCTCCAGTGCAGTATCCAGCAAAATGGCGGCCACTGGATACTGCACTGAGTGAGACGAAATGGGAACGCAGCCATGATTGGTTACGTTGCCTTTCATACCGCTCAGGCTCAATAAGTATTGCCGCGCGAATGCCGTAACCAGTAATGCAAGATCGAGCATCCTGCATCAAGCATCACATGAGGGGAAGAGCCCCCACCATGGCGGCACCAACAAGCGAGCATCGCTGACGTCACGCGTCCGTGTGCACTCGCCATTCCAATAGCATATGAGTCGTACGCTAGATGCGAGATGCTCGCTTGTGTGGTGCCGCCATGGTAGGGGTTCTTCCCTCATGTGGTGCTTGATGCAGGATGCTCGATCTTGCATCACTGGCCGTAACCTATTCACGT